TTGAGCAGGGTGAATGTATCTATTATTTTGAGGACTTTTGTTGTACCGATATAATTGATTACTTTTGATGTACCTATATATTTGCATATCTTGTCTGTTACGATCTATATGACGCTGACTGTACATTTATCCAACGTTCTTACGGTGAAGGAAAACATTGTGATGCAACCTGCACATATCTGAGAAGAAATTCAAAGATATGTGTGAAATCAACCAACCCGCACTCGGCCAGCGTGGTTGACTATGGCCTAATCACCCTTAACTTAGGGTAGGCTCCGAGCCCCTCGGTGGGGACGTATAGTGAGCTGATGATATGAAAAATACCTTTATGTATTTGTTCTATTCGAAGTCTCCTCACAGCTTGTTGGGGTAAATTATTTTACAATTATATTTTTCTTCTAGCGATGGCAGATACTACGAGATAGTGAAGGCTAATTTCGAACGTGCAGACAGACTAACCGTCGTGAGGACGTCGACAAATTGCCGTGTATCCAACTATTACTTGCTTTCCAATTATAAGGACCTCATATTCAACTAAATTCTTTTGTCGATGGCAGCGGGAATGCGCAGAGCCTGTAGACAAAAACCTTCTAAAATGTTTGTATGGTGTTGTTAAATTATTTTATTAATAATACATTTTTCAAACTACCTACGTGTGGTTATTTTTAGTTCTATACATAACTGGTTGTATATCTTAGGTTACTTACGGTTAGTTTCTCAGACCAAAAACCCCGTTTGAAATACATTGTTATCTCTGTTTTTCCACGGTAATGAAAGGGATGACAATATGTTTTATACAGAGATTTTGATGTCAGCCCACGGTTAATTCGACTTAATGAGTAGCTACTTCAACTTGGCTTATAACAATTTAAGGTTATGGGAAATAAAACAAAACACAAGACTAAATTAATTGTTTATTTACAATTTAATGAAAAAATTACCATTTTTATAATTTTTTTCTTCGTCCTCGTCACCGCATTAGTTTCGAAATTTTTTTTAAAAGCTATTTCTAAATAGCTTTGTTAACATTTGCAACAACAAAGCAGTTATATTCAGCTTAGGCGGGCGATGCACTAGCGATTTTTTTTTGCATTTAAATAATGTGAACATTCCTTTAGACAGCAATAAAGATAAACAGGACTACGCGAGACTAACTTAAAACCTAACAGATGTCGCACAGTATATGTACCCACACGTCACAATACAAAATTTAAACTTCAAATCACAAGTAGCCAACCGATTTCGTTATATAATGTATATATAGAAAAAAAACAAATAACTTACTATACAAAAATAAAATTACCACTGAAAAAACTCGGATTCTAAGACTCATTATTAATTACATTTAATCAAGGTTTTGCAAGTGCTCGTTGTTCAGTCACCTTACGCCGTCGCCTGGCAACAAATCGGGCTCCTCTTCAAGGAGGAGGTTCTGATTGTTGCTGTTCTCCTCGTTGCCGGCCTCCGAATTATTATCTTTCGGGTCGTTTTCAATCTTGTATAATATATCGTGGCACAATGGACACCTGTCCTGAACATAGAGCCATTTCCTGAGGCAGACGCCATGGAAGTAATGGTTGCAGCGTGTTATCTTTGCCGAGTGCATTTCCTGGTAGCATATCGCGCATACGTCGTCCAGCTGGTTCAACTGATCGGAGGAAGCTTCCCGCAGCGAGTTGATCTTGTTGACCGCAGTCCGTCGCTTCATAAATACCGACCAGCCGGCACGCGCCTCGCACCAGATGTTGAAGTACGCGTGAATACACATCATAACCGCACGAATCGCGCCACCCGACTCGAAGAGTAAAATCCATGCTCCGTTGAAGAACAGAAAGATCCCGAAGCAGAATTCTATTGTGTTACCGAAGGCGCGAATGTAATAAACGTAATCGTCCAACTGCTCCCAGAATGTACTTCTATATGCGTCGATTAGGAACAAAGAGTATATCATTAGACTAACGACCACTTTGACAACCACTTCTATGCTGAAAGCGCTAACGGCAAGCAACCAAGTAGAGACGGAATGTTGGGACCAGAGATACACCAATAATGATATAGGGAAGAGAATGAGAAACGCACACACTCCAAGGGCGCGGACGTGTCGGTGAGTACTGGGATTATGCGAGGCACTCAGAGACATCAAGATAGGATTTACTATATTATGCAAAAAATGCAGCAGCGCGGTAAAGAGCAGGCAGAAGTTCCGACACAATCTTATGAACCTTTTCTCAGGGTTTAATGACGTTAATCCGGTCTGAAGTGCTAGTATGTAAAACAGTATTGCCGATACGGTGCCTATACTTTTATCTTCCTCTTCATCAGTTAGTAAAATCCATTGGAAGAAGTTGCCAATGTAATGACAGAAGAAAGATATCACCGACGTCATTCCAAGCACGGCCGTTATCGTTTCGCATCCCGTCACTAGCAAAGATTTTGCCATAGATGCGAGAGACTGGACAGCCAGGAGAGTTGAAACTTTAAGAGCCTCCTCGGTATCGTCTTCGTAGTTGTCCACAAGGAGCAGTATCGCTTGTTCGGCCACTCTCAATACCCAAAACACCCTCAATACGCAAGGTACATTGAGTCGCATCCACTCTGTCTCGACCAACGCTGACAGGCCGTAGTTGCTGACAAAGAGCCTGCCGTGCTGGTAGCCCGTATAGATGACTTGGACTATGGTGTAGGCGGAGTACCAGAGGACGTAGTTGATGAGGAAGAGTGGCAACAGCGTAGAAAAGACCGGTGAGTGATGCAGGAAACTCGGCGGCACGGGAAGCATTGCTAGGAACGACGGCGCCATGAAACTGAGAGGCAGCATCTTCTGTATCGTCTGGTGGTGGGGTCCAAGATGGACATTCTTGAAGAGATACGATAGACTATATTGCATGACAAAGTTCTGAATGACTAGAAAGCCGGGGCCGTCGAGATCGAGTAGATTCTTCACGTTTAGATTGAGAATGTCTTCGAGTATGCTAGCTGAGGGCTGGGCGGAGGCGACAGCTTGAGTCAGTGTCTGAATCTGCTTGATGGCTGACACGTTGACCCAGTAGGAGATGAAGACAATGCCGAGCGAGATGATGTACAGGTACACGATGATAAGATGCTTCGTGTATAGCACGAACACGCAGAGCGAAGACATGCATCCTGGAACGAATAACAATGTAATTTAAGCAATTGGTACAGAATAATGAATGTTTACTATTTAGAGTGTTTCCTGCTACCCGTGTAACAGTAATATCCTGACAAGGTTATTTAAAAACATCTTTGTATACAGCTAAAATGTACCCATAAATTATAAGTTATACAGATGAACACGGAAATATTGATAAATCGCTATAAAAAACGAGGAAACATTTAAGGTCTACTAATTTATGGCATAACTAATCTAATGCCAACAAAGAGTCAATCCGTAACATCTTGGCCAATTTAAGCAATCACAATCTCATTTTTTAATGTTATCGATATACAGACAAACTAATATAGGTACATTTTTACCAGTAAGAATTGATATTAGTCTTTACTAATAATATCTTGGCGCCACAGGTTATCGACACTAAAATAGGTGTTAAGATGACGTCAGATTTAATGTCAGGAATTCAAAGAAATCAAACTACAACTACATTTAATGGTTTTAAACGTAGCCTTAAAATATGTATAGATTTCAGTTTTCATATGGTACAATTTTTTTTATTTTCTACTAACATAAAATATATTCCACAAGACTATATAATAAAATGCAATCGCTTATAACATCATGAAAAAACTAGTAAGAAACGTTTCGTATAATCCCATTTTATTTCGGTATCGTGCGCTAAATACCGGATTACGGCGAACGGATATGTGAATTATGCTTAATAAAGAGTTTGAAACGTGAGGCAGGTAAAGGATATCGTTGTTTCTAATAAAACCCGCTACTTAAGATTATTTTAAAACGTTACCGAATCAAGTATATTTGGTAAAATATATTTAGTTAGACCTTTGATTCACCTAGAATTTATCGTAGAAACGACGGCGATTTTGGTTAATAATGATTTAATTATTAGACACAAGACTTTTATTTTGATATACATCTTAGACTCCCACAACGAATACTGTTAGGTTAGACTAAAATTTGAAACAGATAATTAATAGACAAAGAAAATAAATTAAAAACATCCCTTACACATACAATTATTTTCAAATATCTTTGCGGCCCAAGGTCAACGACGCGGTGCGTAGTATCGACCCTTCACGTCCCTGCGCGTCAAAATGTATTCTGCGCAGCAACTCGCGCCAAGTTAAGAGCCGCCATGATATCGAAAAACTATTATATTTAGGTACACTAGAGAGATAAACGATCGATGGGATTCTAATATTTCTCTGCAGATATGTATATTTACTTTAAATGTACCGGCAAATAACCTCTAATAATCTCTCATATCAAGTACAAAATTACTTCGAAAATTACTATACAAGATGATACAAATTTGATAAACATAACCTCAAAAAAAACAGTTTAATAATGTCTATTCATTTTGATTGGATAAAAATATATACACGATAAGAGAAACGGATATTTGCATGAATATTTTTTAATCGAAAATTATGCAACTAACTGCAAAAGATAATATATGCATGTTCTTCCTAAAATTACTACCTAAAGTGTAATACTTGTCAGATATTCAATCTAACATGTCGTAGTCAACGGGTTTTGTTTTGGGGTTGAATATTAAAAGAAAATACTTTGTACCTTTATATTTGACCCACAGAAAGTTTTGTCCTGTTAAATATTACGAGCAATAAAGATCTTTTTGCAGTTGTAATAAGGTTTAAAATGTGAAATGTAATGTTGACACTTGTAAAATATTCAGAAAACAGGTATATACAACATGTTGCTAGGACATTGGTTGGGTGACGAAAGACTTAAGCCCTACAATTAAAATATCTGAGTACCTTTACTATTACTAAAGGCTAAAAGGAGTGATTTGATATTGTTATTTCGTTAAGGTACGCGTCCATTAGCCTTCGCCGGAGGCATCGCATACACGGCCCGCAACGGATTGCTTATTGACAAATGTCGTCTTTCGACGCAGTGCGGATGATAGACGAAGCGCTATGTAAAATCATACAAAGCGAACTAAAACCAGTGGTGCGTTTGGCGCGGTCAATGGACACGTACCTTTAACGAGCCATGTGTTGCACTCCACAAATCAATCAACATACCAAAAATTGTTAAGCATATTTCCATCTCTTTTTTTTAAGTGAGTGAATGGGATGACAAATATGTGATAGTGCGTGTGTTTCTATGATATACTACTTGTTTTATACTATACATTTTTAAGTCAAATATATCATTATAATTTTTTTTTTTATATCACAAGGTGGCAAACGAGCGAGCGGCCACCTGAAATCGCTGAAATAGCGAAGCGACCGTTGCCCATAGACATACGCAATTGCATATGCGTTGCCTACCCTTAACCGATGGAGGAGAGGAAGCACAGAAAGAAAATATTTTCCTTTTCCATGCATCCTCTCATCCGGAAAGTCCACTTCCACTTCCCATCCTTTCCTAAAAAGAAAAAGGGCGAGAAGGGATAGAGGACTAATTTTGGCCTCCGGGACGCACACTCATCAGACTGTACGCGGAATTGCTTCCACTTCACGCCTGTCTTCTGTGTGGTCGTGGTATTTCACCGGGCGAGCCGGGCCGATTTGTGCGAAGATGTTAAAGCTGGCTCTACCACTGTAAACTGTAATAACGTAGTTATCAAACCGATATTACTAAAATCAGTACAATAGCTTAATAATTAGTCTACAACAAAATAATCTTTATAAATACTTAGAAATAATGACTTCGGAAGCAACCTTGTACTTTAGTTTCGTAGGTCAACCATTGATTTGCGTCATTTAGTATAACAATTATATTCCTATGTTAATATAGAGAAGAACTTCGACTAATAAAATATTATTATGGTAATTCCTGCCTACCCTTTAATGTTATAGGCATAACTGTATTTAAGATACTGCAGCTTTTAGCGTTGGTTTAGGTTTAGGGCATTGTCGCCTCTGTACCATGTTATAATACGATGCTAATTATTCGCTTCAACAACGTATAATATTATCGTTAATTTCACAGTCAACCGCGTTTAGTGGTACGGGAAAAGGTGACGAACTTACAAAATAAACAAAAAAAAGATAATTCTAATATTCACATACATTCTACACAATCATTTTTTTGTGTTTTTGTAAATACCGTTAATAATTAATTAAATTGTAAATTACATAATAGTTAATGATCCAATACAATATTGGTGAATGGATCTGTTCTTAGTTGAGTTTGTATATACATATAATACTAGCCGTCGACCGCGACTCCTTCCGCTATAGTTTTAGTAAGATAGTAAGATTTAAATCACATTGTGACGAACCAATTTTGACAAGATCAGTGTCAGATTCGTATTATTTATTTAGATGAGTTGTCAATCCGTCACTCCCATGGGTTTTTTTTATTAACAATTATTTTTTGTCTGCTTTCCATCAACGTTAAAAAAACCTCTTTGCAATATTGAACAAGCTGGCTGTGACGTCATCAATATCAGGTCTGACTATACTGTATCCGGGGGATTCAACAAAACACAAAAAAATATTGTTTCCTCTTCATGAATTTAAATAATATCAGAGATAAAAAGCAAAAAATAATAACAAATTATGAGTTTTATGTGTAATATCCGACTTACAAGATTAATGTGCATTATTATTTATTTAATGTAGGAACATAATATTGTAAACATGTATATATGAATAATAATAAGGAAATGCTAATTTAGAAATAGTGGAATTTATCTTTTTACTAGCTGTCGCCCGCGACTCCATCTTCCTTTCGACTTCCGTGACGCAGAATTACAAAAAGACATAATTAGTAGCCTATGTGTTCTTCCTGACTCTTATATATGTATGCCAAATTTCATCGAGATCCGTAAAGACATTTTGAGGATACCTTCAAACAAACAACTATCCACCCACCGAAACATTTGTATTTATAATATTAGTAAGAAGTAATATAAAGTTAATTTTTAAAATTGAAATAACGACGTACCTTATTTTTTGCAAAATATAAACAAAACTATTTATCTATTCATCTAGACGTAAATTAATTTCTAGATCAACATCAAACGTGCGGTTCTACTTAAAATTTACCATCCTTGAGTGTTACTAGAAAAAAAACGCCGTTATTTTTAACTAGGGCTTTAGTTCTGGTTGGTAACTTTGCAAGCGAAGTAATTCAAAGCGTATCAGAGTTTACTTCAGGGCCATTGATAGGCATTTTATCTTCAAAGCAAAAGGTAAAAAGAAAATAAAATGCAAATTTCATGAAGGTTGTCGTCGTTGTCGGTCGTTAATTTCGTTAAATTTAATTTGAGTGTGGATGGAGTTAGAGGGTATCTCTAGAACCTCTGCATGGATCTCAATAAAATTTGGTATAGATGTAGAACACAGTCTGAAAGAACCCATAGGCTACCTATGGTTCCGGAAACATGTGCGGTTCCTATGCTTGATTCACATATTTACTCCATAACTGCCCAACAGTAACACATCGTATTGAAATATGGCAAAGATATAGAACATAGTCACGAGTAACGATACGATCTTTCATCTTTTTTAAATTCCGCGCAGTCGAAGTCACGAGCAAAAGCTAGTCGATTATAAAGTAACGAATCATATTTATAGTACTGTACAGAGCATACTTTTGAATCAGATTTTTCCGTAAGTATGTCACTGAACTCCTAAACCGTTAAACCGGTTTATAAAGGTAAATACTCAATTGTTTAATATCATACCTACTTCGTGCTGGCATCCTTTTTTTAAAGATTAGAGGCGGGGCAAATGATTAGGATATCTAGAGGACAAAAATCTGGTGCTTCGACCTAAATGGGATGAAGACTAAGAGATGAAGATAAGTGGACAAATGAGCAGCGGGAATAATGGAGTGATCAATAGACGAAATCATACTAATGCGAATGTTTGTTTGAAGATATGTCCAGAATGACTGAACTGAACCCGTTAAAATTTGGCATAGACGTAGAAAATAGTCTGGCTACTGGTAGTTTTTTTTTAATTCCGCGCGAACGTAGTCGCGGACGACAGCGAACGAAATTTTAATACTAATTTCTGGTTCTCGGAACCTGTAGTTCACGGACATGCGTTCGTATTTATATCTTTTTTATTTATTTTGCTAACCGTACGGTGCAATCCGGAAGTTATGTTAATAAAGAGTAATCAATATTCAATATAGATTAATAATTAAGCGGAAACGTCGCTAACCTTGAATTTTTACAACTAATACAAAAGCATATCGAAGTTGTCTAGAGTAGTTGTTGCCTTGACATATTATACGCAAAATTATTGGAGTTTCGACTGCCGAAACACTTGTATAACAATATTGCCATCTCAGTTTTATGAAATAAAGTGAAAAGGATGAAAACATGTTTTTGCTGTGGAAACCGAAACCTCACAGAAAGTAAGATTATGCCAAAAGATATACTAGTTTATAAACTGTTGTATTTTGTCTGTATTTAATTCTGCTTTAACTGAACTAAAAATAGATGTGAATCGCAAAATTTATCTAACTCGTTGGGCATATGTCAAATCAAATTACGACATAGAGAGCCAAAGTCATCTGACCCGGTAAGCATAAGTCAAGTTAAATTATGGACAGATCATTAGAGAGCAGCGCCTCTTACGCATAACATATATAAAATAATCGAAACAATTGAATTACAATCTTACTTATCTTACTAATATTATAAATGCGAATGTTTAGTTGGATGTATGGATGGATGTTTCATTGAAGGTATCACCATAACAGCTGAAAGGTTGCCGCTGAAATTTGGCACAGATGTAGAACAAAGACTGGACGACAGCTAGTATTGCCATAAAGCGATTATGAAGCAAGTAATAAGTAATGCTTTCGTACCAAGATAACATTGAATTGTCGCGTCATCCTATACTTTTATTATGAGAAAAAAAAACAAAGTATACATTAACATTGTAGATAAAATTATTTTTACATTATATATCGTGGTGACTTCACGGTGACATAATTTTTAACCTATTGACCAAAAGGGTAATTTTTTGGCACATGTTTACGTTGTTCCAATTCTCTGTATTCATAGCACATCAGTGACTTAATTATTAAGTAAAATCTTAATAGTGAAATCAATTAAAAATAAATTATAATTATAACCTAAATGACCATATTAACGCGTGACATTAATTCTAGTTTTTTTGAATGACTTGATGAAACATCTGTAAAAAACGTATTGTTTTTTTTTATTATTTTTCAAAGATAGTGGTAAAAATACTCGTCTGTATGAGTATTAAAACATATTTTAACAATCAGTATAGTTTGCTTATAATATAGTGCGAATTTCACGATGATACGGCATTTATGTATAAAAGTCACCGTGACTCAAACTAATGCTACATGTAAAGGAATTGAATAACATTGTACAATACGTAGATAATATACAAAGACTATCAAGATTATATTCTAGATTTTTCTATTAGACAAATGACCCATATAACTATAGCGTTATTTTATACCACATCTGGGCGGAAATTAAAAAACAGTGACTATGATCTACATTTATGCCAAATTTCATATAGATCCATTGAGCCGTTCCGAAGATACCTTCCAACAAACAAACATCCATTCACATTGATAATATAAGTAAGATTAACATTATAAATCTGTTTAAAAATGTTAAACAATCAATCGGTGTTTTCATACAAAATTATAGTATTGTCATCATAATTAAAGATGCATCCCTTTTTAACTGTGGATTTCTCAGACCAAAATCTCAATTTAAAACATATTGTTATCACTGTTTTGTCAAAGATAACAAAATGTTTTATATAGGATTTTGTTGCCAGAAATCAAAGATTAATCTATCAACAGGAAGAACAAATAATTGCAATAACTACAATTGACCCAAATAAAGAGCTAGTTAAATAATTCCGCTTAAAAACATGTTCAATTTATAACACTGAAGTTATCTAAAAGAGAACTGTAAATATAATTTTACTAATATTATCAATGTGAAAGTTAAGATGACTGTATGTTTGTTATATTGCATCTACAGAACCGCTAAACAGACATTGATGAAATTCGGCATAGATGTATAACACAGTCTGGAAGATTTCCGATGTATGAAGATTTTCAATGTATGATATTACAAATTGTATAGAAATTTACCTTAACTTATTACATACTAGCTGTCACGTCCACATAGTGTGAAAGAAACTTAACTAAAAATTAATTAGTAGCCTATGCGGTCTTCCAGACTATGCTCTACATCTATGCCAAATTTCATTAAGATCCGTTCAGCTGTTCTGAAGATACCATCAAACAAACATACATCCATCCACCCATCCAAACATTTATAATATTAGTGAGAAGTAAGATATAATAATTCATGATGTAACATATATTAATCTATTTAAGAATCAACATATGCTATACTGACATGGAATAAATGCGAAGACGATGTACAAAGTCATAATTATGTGTCAAAATCTGAAGTTTTGATATGATAAAATTTATCTATGAATAAATTGGTAGGCTTGTTTAAATAATCATACAAAGTAATTAAATATTTACATAACCTTAGTCTTTTTTTATATGTTTGCGATCAATTGATAATTAATCAAGGAAGAACACTAGGCTCCGTTTTTATCAATAGAAATAGGTCAGGACATATATTTTTTTGTCACTAAGTAATGAAAATTATATATTTTTAAAATATATAATTTTCATTACTTACTATTTACCTTAAAATGAGTCATACCTTAAATGCTCATAATTAAATAAATTAAAAGTTTTCCTTTTTCATATCCAAACAGAACAATGTCAGAGGATGAACGATGGACGGAGGATGAAAGAGGACAGTCACTCTGAGTTTTTGGTCTTTTAAACTGTAAATTGTGTTTCAGAACAAAACATCAATGTCAAAAATGTATATCTCGTTTGTTCAGGTCATCATCCTCTTTCTCTCTTTGCCAAGCTGTAATGATATTAACATCGGTGTCATTTATAAAAATGTTCTTTATAAAAATTAAATTTGTGTCTTTGGTTTAAAGTTAATTTTAGAAAATTTTTTGAACTTTGTCATTGCCAAGTAAGCTGGGTTCGACAAGTATAGTAATAAATTATAATTACTGCTATAAAAATCCTCACATAGGGAGACATTTAAAAACAAGTTTAAGAATGTGGGTAGTTTTAATTAAATAACAAGAAAACAACCATTTAACACTTTTGATATGTCATCATTAATTTTAATAAACATACTGTAGAATTTAAATTTAATTATAGCTAACTTTTAAAAAATTAATATAGTAACATTGAATCATACTTCTTACTAATCCTATAAATGCAATTGGATGGATGGATCTTGCGCAGACGGTGTTGCGGGCAACAGCTAGTATACAGCGGGCATATAAAGCAATAAATGATTGGCAAAACAACCAGCTACAAAATAAATTTGGATTTATAACCATTACAATACATTTCTTATATCAAATGACACTGCATTCGGATTAATGCTCACAGCTTTAAATATAACACAACAATAGGATGAAGAAACCTTCATACATATTTTATTTTTTAAGATTTTTGTCCATCAGACAAAAGTATAAAATACTTACATTTGAAGCACTATAAAGCAAGTATTTTCGGGGATGATGTATATTGATTAATTAATATTTCTTAATTTAGATTTCTCAAAGGTGAATAGTTCATGGTTTATATCTTTATGGTGATGTATGGACTTATTAATAATTTTATACAACATAGTTATTAATTATTGTTATAAAATTTTTAAAAACATTCTGCACAATAAATAATAGCTTATCTTAAATTCTCTGTCATTCAAATTAGGAATATAATAATCCCAGATAAAAATTTTGATATGTTTGGCAACATGATTTTACAAAAATTTAATAGGTTACCCGACCAATTATTGGATTTTTATTTAATAAAGATGTCTACCCTTATAAGAGATTGCATTAATTATGTTCTTTTTTTAATTCAACCAATACTTTAATACCTTGACATGTGGATAAAAAAATGTGCTAAGCTACAAGTCTCTTTAGATGTAAAATTTTATCTACTCATAAAATTCAAGTTCAAATTAAAGAATAATGCAAATACCAAATATTTAAAATTATCAAAATACTTGTTCAGGGTCTGCACACATTGTGACATTACCACGCCAGGTAAACAGTTTGCGCGATTGCGAAATGTCTTGCGAAATCGAAAGGGCCTTCAAATACTTGAGTGTTAGAATAGTTTCTAAAAAAAATCAACTTACCTAAGCAACACACGACGAATTTGAAGAAAGTGAAGAAGAATGCATTGTAAAAGTTAGCATCGTAGTAATTTCCATCTGATTCTGGTACGTCTACGTGATCCACCGTCACGTTGCTGAGCACCAGCACCTCTTCGCCGCTCGACACCGGCAGCCCCAAGCTGATCTTCAGGAACTCATCCACCACAAAGAGCGGTGGAACTCGTAAAAATACCTCCAGTAAAGCTAATACCTTCGACCTCAACGACATCATTCATTTATGCGACTCTTCACGCACTATCACTGATAATTTACACAGCCGAAAAAAACGGCAATCCCGAAATGGAACTATTTAATAATGATATTATATTTTTAAATATTATCTTTATGATCACGTAATAAATGTTTCAAAATATGACTGAAATTTTTGCGACAATAAAATTTGACAATATAGATTTGAAGTTGGCACAGATAAAAATTTTCAGGTTTTTTGCGGCAAAGTGTTGCTACTATAAAAATTCGAGCATTATATATTTTTTATCTAGTAATGGTAGAAATTATAATTCATTTTGTTTAATTTTTATTCCTTATTGTTATTGTTTAATTTTGTTTTTAAATTGCTATTTTGTTAAATATTAAACATATTATAATACCAGACTCACAAAATTTTCCTTTTGCCGAGAATTATTTTGTCGTACTAGGCGCTGGGCCTGATACCTATTATAAAATATGTAATTCGTCAACAAAATATTTATGGCATCTTTAACAAAATGATTTACATTGGTCTTGTTTCTTTATTTTTAATGTACAAATTATCGGTACACATAATTTGTCACTTCAGGCGAAAATAAATTGTAATGTAATATTCATTAGTAGTATATCATGGTTGCGAAATATCAAGGAATGGACTAATATTACCAGCAAGGAACCTTTATTTCGCTTAGCACAAGACAGGCAAAAGTTCACAGAGCTGACGGTCAACCTCCATTAAATGTAAAGGCACCTCGAGAGAGAGTGCGAGTATAACTATAATATAATCCCGTCCAAGTCTCCCTAATATTGGTCTCTACCACATACATTAAATTGTTTAAAAAATCTTGATGTTATGTTAAGGTCTTTTAATATCTATCTGCATCGATCTGTACGAGGCCGCCACACCAAAACATCTTATGTTCTTTCTTCAATCTGATGTGCCATTATCTACGAATCGTCTGCCGAGTTTTTATATAGCTCCAGTTCATCAGTTGAATAATCTAATACTATAAATGCGAAATTTTGGATGGATGGATTGATGGGTGGATTTTTGTTACAAGGTATCTCCGGAACGACTCAAAGGATCTTGATGGAATTCGGCACACATGTAGAACATAATCTGGAAGAACACATACTCTACTAAGTTAAAATATAATTATCCTGAAAATAAACGACTAAATAGTAGTACCTAACTGAGATAAATATTTGAACAATTTACTTTTGCATTGTAGTCTTCGCTAAATGTACTAATGCATTTGAAAGCTCCCCCGTGATAAAGTCCGAAAAAGCCGCCGCCATGTTACCAATCGATTACAAGTTGTGAGGCTTCAGTATATGGCTTCTCTGTTCAGAGGTAAATTAAAAACCCTCCCGCTATTGTGCCTAGGATTGCAAGCTCGCTATTCAAGCTTGCGAGATGTTAAATATTTGTTTGAGAGAAAAATAAAATAAATACTACGACAAAATGAATTGATTTTATAAGCTTTCAGCATCACAATAAAATAGCAATTAAGTATAGGTATTTAAAGTTAATACTCGCCAAATCCTGATATAAACTTTTTCCTCAATTCTAAGGTGGCAAACGAGCAAGTGGCCACCTGAAGACATCATAATAGCGAAGCCACACCTGCCCATAGACCGTTTCCGTTGCCGGAGGAGGAGACGCACATAAAGGGAATATTTCCTCTTGCTATGTGTCTATTCCTCCGTTAAATCCACGTACCTCTCCCCTTCCTTCTTTATAACAAATGGAGGGAAAAAAGAAATAAACTAGTTGTTTGCTGGCGTGGCGCCTACCACTATTTTCTTGTTCGTCGTCGTAAACTAATAAATGAACAGGTATATTAATTTCTATTGAATTAAAGGGATTTTAAGCTCTATGTTTAGCCACCGAATGAATTCTTGTACGTAAGTTGAAAAACTCAATATCATTTGCCTTCTAAGGGGACTTGGAATTTGGGACGTCTTCCTTCCGGCTGTATAGACGTTTTAATTCGCATGGCGGGAAGTCATTTGACGCGAAAGGTGGGTTGGAAGCGAGGTCTGTAGAATGCATTAGAAGAAGCCAATGTCAGCAGTGAACAAAGGTTGATGATAATTATCTTTCTCAGGAGTCGTTTTAAATGAAGTAGAATTGATTGGTATCCGAAATTAGAAAAATAATATCTCGAGCATTGGTGTAACTAAGGGGCACACAGATAAATAATAAAGAAAAAGTTTTTCAATTTATAAGAGTGTTAAGGTTTATAGATTACCATGATTATGGAAGATTTAATAGTCTGGTACAAAAATTTTATATTTAACGCGTGTGAAGTTTGGGCGTTTAGAGAATAATATGTTATTACTAGTAATAAATAAAAATGAGTATATGATGACAAGTTTTACCTATAACCACATATCGTGTCGTCGTTCCCGGCTTACGCAACCCTAAATGACAATAATTACCGGTATTTAATACTCCCACTTTACTTTGTGGCTTAAGGGTGCGTACAGACTAGTTTTTTTCATGCATTTTGTATCGTTATAAACTGTAGCGAAAAATTAAAATGCCCTATTGAATATCTGATAAAATAAATTGTGTATGTAATAAAATTTCAAATAATAAGGAATTATACAATGATTGGACTATATGAAAAACCTCTAATAAACACTTTTTATATTTATATTATTTTTTTTGTTATGGGATTTTTGATATAACCTGCTCGTTTTCCGCTTAATGTAAAACAAAAATTATATTTTAGGACTAAATAATATTTTTCCGTGTACACAACGCTTTATTAAAAAAAGAACAAAAATGAATATGGCGGCAATCTGTCAAGACACGCGCGCGCCACGCGTCGCTCATTCCCCTCCTTTAAAGATTAAATCTGAATCAATCGAGAGCATCCGCAAAGATAACTTGCGAATCCGCAATAAAATATTGAATTACACACATTATCTTTTATTTACGTTTCCGATTGAGTCGTATCATTTTACAGAGAGCGAGCAATCTGTTAAAATGTTATTGTTTTTGATGAGAACCACTCTGATGAATTGTTATCTATTTAAATACAGGGGATGTTAACAACCACATAACATGTAGCAATGATAATGTGCTAGTATTGTTCACTTGCTAAAATAGTTTTTTTTTTATAGGAGAACAACAAACGAGCAACGAATCGCCTAATATTATTTGATCCGACGCCCATGGACATCCGCAACGCCAGAGGAACCGCAGATGCGTTGCCGGCCTAGACAGTTTGTTAAAAAGATATGTTTCGTGTAGGTTTTTTCGGTATTGGGAATTCGCAGTAGGATTTCAGTTGTTGAAGTCCGGACGTAGAATTTTCAAACTAAGAAGATTCAGAAAAAATAAGCGAACAACCAAAATAATATGGGATACTTACTGTTAAAAAAAACAAATGAGTTTGGGACTTTGATATGGAATAACTATTAAAGAAATAATTTATGTGGTTATTTAGAAACAAAACTGAAGTTAATTTTATACTACTAGCTAGCTAAATAAAACATCGCACTCTTAAACATCGTAATTGATTGAGAGGTTAATTCAGTTTGAAAAAAAACCGCCCCCTATTTTATTATCATCCCCTAAACAAACAATGATTAAAAACCATACCTGTCTGGTGAGATCACAATTGCTACCGGGTACACTTGCAGTTTAGCCTGAGGGCAAACACAGGTGTAAAGTGTTTATTGTCAACGATTTTAAGGTCGAACGACTATTTACATGGGGATGAATATTGCGTCAAACAGAAGTCCATAATCTCTTCCTACCCTCTCTATAACGGGCGTGATGGTGTTTGTTTGTGAATATTGCGAAAACTTTGATCCTGTTTCTATTGTTTTTTATTTTTATGTATTTTAAAGCAATAGCCTATTGCCTAGCGCTGGATCGTGGGTTCAAATCTCACTATTTGATAACTAGCTGTCGCACGCGACTCTGTACGCGCGGAATTAAAATAAAAACTTAACTAGTAGCCTATGTGTTCTTCGAAACTATGTTCTGCATCTATGCCAAATTTCAGCTAGATCCATGCAGCCGTTCTGTATATACATTCAAACAAACATCTATCCATCCATCCAAACATTCGCATTCGTAATATTAGTAAGATAATATACTTATCAATATCAACAGTTATTAGCAAGAAATAGTACTAAAAAGCCCGTCATAACAAATTATACTTTTTTAATGGAACCCACTATTTGGGTTCTACATATCAACAATACCAAAAATATATATAACTATGTTTTATTTAATCCGTAATAAAACTTAGAATTTTAGCTTTTTAAATATGTCTAATTCAGGTAATTCGATATTATTTCGCATAAAAAGCGTCCCGTCGATCGACCGGGAGGTGACGTGTGACGTTATGTCAGAGGGCGTCCTCTGGACTCCGGTGTCTGGTGTCTCCGGACACGACATCCGACACTTCCGTTTCCGAGCGAACGCAGGTGAGCGCTTCCGATCGATTTTGTTCCATGTCTATGGTCAACGTGTAAGCCTTTACAATCGTCCTAATGCTTTTAAAGTTATTATGTAAATTGTAATTTTAATAGCGAATATTTTAGTAATAATGAGCAGGTGAGATGGATGATCTTACTAATATTATAAATGCGAATGTTTAGATGAATGGATGGATGAATGTTTGTTAGAAGGTAACTCCAGAAAGGCTGCATGTATGTATGTATCTCGCTGAAATTTGCCATACATGTAGGACATCGTCTGGAGCAACACATAGCTACTAATAATTAAGCTTTTTTTTTAATTCTGCGCGAACTAGCAAGATGTTACCAAGAAATTTTTTCCAATTATCAATTAATCCCCGAACATTCTGTCTAAGATATAATATATAAGCTAGCCAGGATGGTTTAACATGTATTTTTTTCATAAACCAATGACTTTTTTGAACTACCCACTAACACGTTTATGACATCGCAACCACCTCTCCTGCAGACTTTTTGCTATTTCTTATGAAAAATGTGAAAAAAGTTTGTTTATTACAGATCAATGATTCCATAGAAGCCAAATAACATAAGCGACGGATGCTGCAATTGACAAAAAATCCGCGTTTCACTGAGACGTGTGAAGTACTGAAGTTTGCACCGCGTGTGAACATGCAGAATGCCTCGGAGCCACTCGGCTCAGTGGGCAGTGGTGCCTGTTCGATACCGCCCACGAAGTTGCGATATTAATATACGTACGTGTTTAGAACTCTTATACATACATAGACAAAGTTATTTTTATAAACATAAGACGTAATTTGTGTAAAATACATAAAAAAATTATTATATAATATATTCGTTAAAAATACGATAAATTACATAACAATTGCGTAATCTCTTTCTCATGTGAACTTTTGAAAAAAAAATTGTAAATTCAAATATGACGGCTGATAGATACGTATGGAAGAGTGGTGCATACTGTGCCGACCCTCTGTAGTGTCAAGGGCAGGCTAATGAAGATAACTTAAAAACAGTTATTACATAAGCTATCCAATCATTTCCATTTTCTCTGCATTTCAGAGCATTTCCGGAACTTCAGAAATAAGCTTTGATTGCAAAAGATAAGTGATTATGCACCTCTTTAGACTATAAAAGGATGTTATTGTCTAAGTTCTCAGTTGGATGGTACCACGGGTATCGCACGGGGTTCACGACATCTGGTTGAGACGGGACGTTGGGATCTCGCATGACTTACCTCTACCTGGGTGGCCGCTAACACGTCTCATACTGGCAACCGATACCGTCATATGTTACCATACCTGGGATAAATATTATTTAATTAAAAAAACAAGAAAAATTAAGTACTACTATGATTGTAATATCGATAGGTCAATAATAATTAGGATAATATAGTAAAAAAGGGTTTAAAACAATTTTATAAAAAAAACAATTAGAATTCTGTTATAACTAAACTAAGTATGATAGAAATCTATAAATGTTGTTTGAATATGGGTAAGTCATCCTACATAGCTTTTCTTGTCGCCCGCGACTTCGTTCGTGCAAAATAAAAAAAACGTAATTAGAAGCCTATGTGTTCTTCCAGAGTATGCTCCATTTATGCCAAACATTAGCGAGATCGATGCGTCCGTTGTGGAGATACCTTCAAACAAACATCCATCTATCCAACATTCGCATTTTTAATATTGGTAAGAAGTAAGAAATATTTTTTTAAATAATGAAATAACCACATAATGTTTTTCTAGATATATCAAACGACTTTATATTTAAAATACAGTGCAACTTTTTAATATTATAAAATGTAGTACTTAATATACTGGTAACTTAGTTAATAATGGTTGTACATTCTTGTGGTCATATTGCACGTTCAACTTATCGATTCTTATGAAATTTTCTTTATTTTTTAACTTGTGTGCGCTACTGGTGTATCGGATTACAGTAGATTGTGATGCGTGCACAGATAAAATATTGTTGTGTTAACTTAAATACTAATATGAAATAAACTAGCTGTCGCCCTCGACTCCGTCGGCGCGGAATGAAAAAAAAACTGAAGTAGTAACATATGTGTCCTTCCAGACTATGCATCTATGCTAAGCCTATGGAGGATGCCTTCAAACAAACAACCAACCATCTATACAAACATCCGCATTTATAATATTAGTAAGAATCATGAAGGAATTGGGATAAATTACAACCACTATTGTGGTAGAGGTTAGAGAAACAAATGAACCACGACGATGATTCTACAATTGTTTTACAAAAGATATGTATATTTGTTGTAGGTATTAAGTATACATGCTTTATGTAGCGAATCGTAAAAAGTAAATAAGGGCGGATGGCGTCAAAAGGGAAGGGTGTGTCTGTTGTATTATGTTAACGATTGCCGTACACATTTGTATTAATAAAGCTATACAACCATGACAACAACAAACAACTTACGCCCGTAACCCAGAAGTGTAGCTAGACCCGTAGACAGTAGACCCAATGATTATGAATTTCCATTTGACCGTGCTCCTACGGGCGGACATTTTGGCACATCTAATAAAAGATAAAATATAAATAGAAAAGAAATGTAAGGTGATCTAAGATTTTCTTCACATATTTGGTTCATATAAAACATGGTTAAAGTAATAAATTTAAGACAAAGACTAGTTTTGATTACCTTGTTAAGGTTCCATTCCTATTTCTAATGTATAAATAGTAATCATCTTCAAAAACACGATCTAATAGATAATTATTATAATTAATTAACCTATCTAAATAGTATCGTATCACTAAACGTTCCCCGCCGCAGAGCCGCAGACAAAAGCCCGCCATAACCCGATACCCGTTGACAGCTACTTTCCCGCGCGCAATATGTCATGTCAATGTTTTTTTTTTCAGGCGAGGGGGTTGGATACAAACAGCCAATTACCGTGGGGGCGGGTGTAGAGTGCATTAGCCAAGAGATAGTCATTTAGTGAACACCATCACACTGTAAGGGAGCGTCCGGCAATAAACATGTTAATTAATCACTCGATCAGTATTTTAGCATAATTTTATTAGGGTTTAATTTGTGTTGGTGTTGCCATGGCGCGTTCTTTAAATGATACGTTTAATTTAATTAGTGCGAACAAGTGCTGTGTGAAACTGTGATTTTGTGATGTGTTTTGAATTAAACATTTTAAATTGTATTTGGATACAATTGGAATTTTGCTTTTAAAAAGGTGAGTCTCCTATATTACATTACTTTGGTTATAATTTAACGTGATATGAGATATCAGAAATAATTCAATTAATAAATGGCGGAAACAATAGTAGATAGGTCTCATATGACGAGTCATTTTTTTAAATAATTTTCTAATGTTTAAAAACAGATTGCATACAATTTACATTATTTATTATTATGAAATTATTATTAACCTAGTGAAAATTCCCATTTAGGTTTTTAGGCGTAGTTGCTAGATGTATTTTCTAGTGCGTAAATTTAAAGATATTTTTGATTTAATAATAAAACATATAGAATTAATAAACAGATGTCTCCTTCAAGTCCGTTCTTTACAAATTTTTGTTTTGTGTTTTGCATCACGGAATTCGGTTACGTTTTTATATTGCTTAACATGAGACTATACTTCGAACACTTTGATTTTCTACTAAATACTATTGAATAATTTTTTTTCTATCTTTTCATTCTAATTCTTTCTCTAAATCTTTTAATTCTATCGACATTTAGGCAACTTAGTAACTAATTAATTATCAATGTTTTAATATGCGAATATTTTGTACCTCTTTGAAAAAAGCAAGTTCAAAAGAATACGAAATACACTATTAAAATTAATATGGAAAAGAAGTACATTGAGCGATTTTCATTACAAAAATCTTTGACCGACCCTTAATCTTGAAAAATCTAAAAACGATTCCCAATTCTCCGATCGTAATCGTAGTAATTATTAATTAAAACCCGTTTTACGCATCATAAGAACGTAAGATTTTGAGAATAACACATAAGAAAAGTTATATGAATGAAAATGAGTTTTAGGGTATGTATGTTAATAAGTAATTTGGTAATAGACTTGAATTTCAAATACTTAATCTCGTAATCAGCCATGGTACTATAATCTTATGGATTAGTATTAAATTCAATTGCTTTGTTGCCTTAAGAGAGTTAGCGTTACACTGTAAAAGAAAATTCCTTTACCGATTTGTAAAACAAATCCCCCGATCCAAAAAGGTGATCTTTTTACTTTTAGCTAAGTGATATATTTTACTAGCTGTCGCCCGCGACTCCGTCGGCGCGGAATTTAAAAAGAATAATTAGTACTCTTTTCCAGATATGTTCTATAGTATGCCAAATTTAATTGAGATCCATCCATGCAAACAATCGCATTTACAATATTAGTAAGATAGTAAGAAGTAAGATTTATTTAAGTTATAACTTATTCGAATTGTTTCGATAAACTATCGCTTGCCTGACATCTACAAAGCTATAAGATATTTTCCACATCCTTATTCACGGGACGAAACGCTAAAGGCAAACCTATCCTAATTTAGGAAAACTTTTGTTTTAAAAAATAACCTTTAAATAATTTGAATTACAATAAGTTTATTGTTGATAATAAAGTTATGTTGTTTTTACAATCTTTTATTTAGTTTTTTTATATCGATATTCGTCTATAGTTGATGTCTAATTGCATGTTTTCATTGCCGAAACAGCAACAACATGTTATTGTACATGTATACCATCAGTGGAAATATACGATAAGCTTATGTTACTTTATATTTGATGATTGTCCGTCTTTCATGTCTAACACTAAGACTACAACACAAATAATTATTTAGCGCATTAACAAAAGTTCTAAGCAATCAATTGTTTTTTGATTTTATATATTAACTAGCTGTCACCTGCGACTCAATCTGCGCGGAATTAAAACGAAGCGTATTTGCTGTTCTGGAGATACCTTCTATATCGCTTTATAAAAATCAAATACTGTTAACTCGAAGCTATTCTCTACGTAAACGTATGATTTGATTCTAATTAAATCACAAATTAGAAGAGTTGTAATTTGCTATTTTTAAAAAAATAATAGAAAATTATATAAAATGAAAAAAAAAAACTCACAACTACAGCACAGGAGGGTAAGATATCAGCCATGCTTGCCAGTTAACATCAGACCAAATGATTTTATATGTAAATAACATTCTTTCATCTATAAATTCTCCTGTTAATTAGTTATTTTCATAAAAAAATGTCTAACTATTTTTATTTTTAAATGTTGTAAATGTAACCTAGCAAATTATTCGATAATTTATAAAACTATGATACACCGATCGTTTTATAATAAATCTTGCACGACTATCACTGTATATTATAATAAAAATCATATTTCTATATATCCGTAGCCATGCCAACGCGAGACTACAAGCGTCGGAAACAAATCTAGGCGGTGGTGTACCGCCCCTGCGCCGTGAGATGCGCGAGGCTGTGAGGCGGAGCCATGGACTGCTATATGCCCAACAACCCGCAGTACGGGCTGGCGGAGTACTGCCCCGGCTGCCACGGACTCTGCTGCGACCCTCTGCAGCCCTGCACCTGTGTCGATCAAGTCAGAGAGTTCGCGGAAGACGAGTGCTGCCAGGTGCGTTGCAGAATATTTTTTTAAAAATCGATTTTAAACCGTTAACCGTAAGCAGATGCATTTTAAATTCCAATTTAAATGTTTGAAATTATAAAAGTCAAGTTATTTCTTTTATAAGACATGTTTATGGCATTTATGTAGCTACTAGCCAGATAGACTCATTAAAAATGATAGACTGTGCCGTTATTAATCGCTTTTAAAATAATAAAAAAAAATGAATTTTTATCTGAAAGTAAGCTGATATAGTAATTGTTAAGCAGTGAAAAAGATTCAAATAGAAAATTAAACCAAACTTAAGAAAAAATATGCCTAAACCAATCTACGAATACTTCTCCTGTGTTTAATGGTCGTGTCGCGGTTTGTCATGCGTGTAGTGGTTATTTAAAAAAGAACAACTCCTGACTTTTATCACCTTGCAGCAAGAAACCGAAAACTGCTGCCCGGAAAATGGAGAGGAGCTGGGGGCGCTGGGAGAGTCGCTCCCTTGCGATGTGAGCCTGGCGCCAGCGGGCGACGCCTGGCCCGACGATATGGCCTCGTTCTCCCTGCCGCCGCTAGACCTCGATCCCCTACCCTCTCTCTTCCCGTTTTCACCTTGCTCCGGGTACAAGTAAGTCTTATTAGGATAAGCTAAGGATAAGGATAAGGAGATAGGTCTCCAAACTACTCGAGAAATACGTTACACGATCTACACAATCGTTCAACTTCGCGATAAACTTATGCGCGCGGCGTCACCATCAGCTTCGAGTCTTTTAACTCATTGAAAACGAGCCATCAAACGAAAAGATATAATTCTGTTCATTGGGTGAATTAATAGCGGTCATTTCAGAGTAGGCTATGTTAAGAAAAGTCAGTTAATCTGAATGCTTGGTGGTATTCTTAACATTCTAAATTCGCCGAAATAGCGAAACGAAGCTGTCTAAAGACGCTGTTAATCGACGGAGGATGGGACACACGGAAAATTAAAATTTCCCCTTCTTGTGCATACATTCCCTATAAGAAAAGAATGGGACGGGAAAGAGGAAGATATTAGGGCTCCGGAATGTACACTCATCAGACCAAATATGGAATTGCTTCCACTTTACCCCTGTCATTCACAAATACCCACCACGACCATGTGGGGTATTTCACCGGTATAGCCATTGTTGCTGGGGTCTACCACTGTTATTTTTAAGTGGTTGATCTCGTTTATAAAAAAGATAAAGGAATTCACTGGTCATACATACAAACGTACATTAATAATTAAATAAATAGATCATTTTAAAGTATTATAACTTGTATAGTTTTTACAAAAATGTACCAAATGCTGAACAGAACTAAACGTAAGTGTAGCCGTTTTTTAAGTAGTTTATTTTAATGAGACATTAAAGCTTAAATATTTTAAGTAATAAATAAGATTTGGATATGAATGTAGAAGGCAACCAGCTAAATAATATTTATTTAAATCGATCTGTATTCGAACACATGTGAAATCTTCGCACGGACCAGTTAGAAAAGAAATCTTTCTAATTATTATTTCCTACGTCGTTATATGAAGAAGAAAATTAATTTGGATTATATCTTCAGCAGGAACAGCGGCGGGGAGTGCAAGGAGCGCGGCGGGGGAGAGGCGGCTGACGTCCTCCTCTCCCTCAAGCACGCCGTGGTGCACGGAGACTGTGCCACAGAGAGCGTACACCCACAGGTATAGTCGTACTCTTCACATTAATGTGCATTCACTAAGGTAAGACAGAGATGAATAGATCTAGTGCAGTTTGGAATGAGTGAAAGGGGGAATGGGTGACTGGGTGGGGGATGTACAGGTAAAATCGGGGGTGCAAGGGGCGTACGGCTTTTGTGAAATTATTTCAATTATGATCGCAAAAGCTCCGAATTGGCTTCTCTGTAAATACCTTGTATTATACGAGACCCTCATTAAAACTTTGACGTCTCGAATTGTTACAAAGTTTTAGCAAACGAAGTTACAATTTTTAATGAACAGCTATGAATGTTTTGCTTCTGTATTAAATTTAGAAAACTCCGGTTTTTGTATGGTTTGGAAGTTAATAAGTTTATGAACGTACTTATGAATATAATGAAATCGTTAATTAATTGCATAAGAATATTTTTCAAATTAACACTATTCTTTTACATCTTTGTTTTAAGAAATCTTACTAATCTTGCTTCTTACATACATTACATACATTTTTTATATTATAATATATCATAAAGTGGCAAACGAGCGAGCGGCCACCTGAAATCGCTGATATAGCAAAGTGACCGTTGCCCATATACATACGCAATTGCATATGCGTTGCCTACCCTTAACCGATGGAGGAGAGGAAGCACAGAAAGAAAATATTTTCCTTTTCCATGCATCCTCTCATCCGGAAAGTCCACTTCCACTTCCCATCCTTTCCTAAAAAGAAAAAGGGTGAGAAGGGACAGAGGACTAATTTTGGCCTCCGGGACGCACACTCATCAGACTGTACGCGGAATTGCTTCCACTTCACGCCTGTCTTCTGTGTGGTCGTGGTATTTCACCGGACGAACCGGGCCAATTCGTGCGAAGATGTTAAAGCGGGCTCTACCACTGTTATAAATGCAAATGTTTGGATAGATGGGTGGATGGATGTTTGTTTGAAGGTATCTCCGGAATGGCTAAACTGATCTAGGTGCACAACACAGTCTGGAAGAATACATAGCCTACTATTTTTTTTTAATATCGCGCTGACGGAGACGCTTCAGCTAGTCTTTTATAAATGATTAGCCAACAATATTAACGATTTGATGATGACACAGATGATGATGAACGGCAGTGGGGGGTATCCGTACTACGAGCACTACAGCGGCGCCCCCCTCTTTCCCACCATGAGCGTCAACGTGTCTATGAACATGACCATGCACGGCTGTCCACCTGATCAGCTATGCTCACAGGTATAGTTATAATCAATGGTTATGCTCACTCTGGGTATATCTTCTGTGGCATGTAACACAATTTTAGGTGCCGACGCTATTACAAATAACTGGACGCCCATTGGTTGATTTCGACTTTAATTTGTAATCAAAGATTTTTTATTAAAAGTAACTTTCATAGCACTTCTTTTCCACGCTACTTTTAACTGTGTCCAAATTTGACGTTCAAGCGACGAAGACAAAACAACTTTGTCTTCGTCGCTTTTCGTTTAAGTTCTGAGAACCTCCTCCTTTTTAAAAAGGTCGATTTCAAGTTCCGCACTTCAACATCGATAAAAACAAAAAGTGCCGTAGAATCGTTTAACTATATACGGCGTAGCTTGCTACGGTATTGCGTAGCATCGTAGATTAACAACCTTTGCGTTGTAAAATCTATTTAATGTTACTATACTAATTTACAAAGAGAAGTTAACTATAAATCATCAGCATGTTTCAAAATAGTTCAAAGGACGCATATTAGTAAAATGGATGTAATGCCTACAAAGGACAGCTTAATATAAGGATTGGATTACTAACAAACACATTTCTTTAGGTACAGTGGAATCAGAACGCGTCAACGCCATCTGTCAACGTGGTATACCCTCAAGCTCAAAACGTCATCAGTCCAACATCATATCCATCAGCCACGTATTCTTTCACAGCTGACTTCAGACCTCCCAACCAATCAGATCCTCTGATCACCGCTTCTTCCACATTCAAACCCCTACAACTCCAAAACTCACAGAAGACCAACCCCAATTATTCTTTATTCCAACAAAAACCCAATTATACGAGTCAGAAGATGATAGCACCGGTGCTTAAGAGATCGCCTCCCAAGATGTACGTGCAGGAAGGTCAGAAAGACCAGAATATTAACAATGGATATACGGTGCTGAATCATCAAGGTCAGGTCCACTCTCAGGACTACGGATACTCGGCTTGTGTTAATTCTTCAGGCAAAGTTCAGGTGAGTTTTAATTGTAATAGAAAATTAATTACAGAATATGATACTTGAGAAAGGTTTTACGACTATATACATTTCTTATCAAACCTCATTCAAGGCTTTAGTTTAATTGTTTATCGAAAAATAACAACTTTATCGATATTAAAATAAGGATCAAGTAACAAGATTTTTTGTTTCGTGTTTCAATCATGAATTCTTTATTCTACCAAGAAAATTTGAAAAGCTGATGCTATATTTTTAGTCGTACTAATGAGGTGATGTTTTAAATGTCACTTGATGACAGGTTGGTGCTCTAAGCGGTTGTTCAGAAGACGACGAACAGAAGCCGAACTTATGCCGTATCTGTGGCAAAACGTACGCGCGGCCGAGTACTCTCAAGACGCATTTACGGACACATTCCGGGGAAAGACCGTATCGCTGCCCCGACTGCAACAAGAGTTTCTCACAAGCCGCCAACTTGACAGCGCATGTCCGGACTCATACTGGCCAGAAGCCGTTCAGGTATTAATTCACAAAGTCAATATAAGCTTAGTGGAGATTCCTAGAATTAATGTAAGAGAGACCAGTTAACGGTCAGTTATTTCAATGCGAAGTTGGATGCACGGATTTTGGTTCGATCCGGACAATCCCAGACAATCTAATAATACAATTACGAGAAGCACAATTTAATATGTAGAAAACTGTGTTCTATTTTAGCTTTTCCGTGTCTCTGTGTGCTACAGGCGTTGGTTCCTGTGTTTGTTGTTAGTCTTTTGTTTTATTAGAATAAAACGATGGATCGTTGAAATCTTTATTGCAGATGTCCCATTTGCGACCGACGGTTCAGTCAAAGCTCGAGTGTGACTACTCATATGCGGACACATTCCGGTGAAAGGCCGTATCAGTAAGTATGATTCTAAATAAAGGTTCTTTTTAGTAACATAGATATCGGTAAATAAGTCGTATCTATATTGACCACCGTTCTATGTGAACGGAGTCTAATTCGGTAGCATTGTTTTTACAACACATTTTATATGAAAATATTTAATAATTTGTACAGGTGTCGATCGTGTAAGAAGGCGTTTTCGGACAGTTCCACGTTGACAAAACATTTGAGGATACATTCAGGAGAAAAGCCGTATCAATGCAAACTGTGCTTACTCAGGTATGTGGTGGTGATCCTATGTGGTGTTTCCATACTCAGAGTCTTTATGTGTTTACTTAATTCCTAGGTATGGATTTAAAATCTATTTTTTAAGTGTTAAAGGAATCGAGTGAAGCGTATTATATGACTAATCAATTTCCGTCACATAGGTTTTCTCAATCTGGCAACCTCAACCGTCACATGCGCGTCCACGGCAACATGTCAGGTGGAGTACTTGGCTGACATCTACAGAAGTGCGGTCTGCCGGCCGTATACTCTTATATATAGTGCAATATTTCTTGCCCAATACTACCATTTCATAATTAATCAATAGGTAGTTAAAAGTGTATTTAAGGCTCGTAGCGCACAGCCGAAGCGAAGCTAACTTTGATATGAAACTGGCATATGTTTTCGTTTACGATGAAAGGTGCAGGACACTAGCAGATACAAAACCAAATAGAATATAAAGCGAAAATGATAATTGTGCTCAATTTGTTTGCTTTCGCGGCTTTGCGCTACAAACCATATTGTCGAAGTTAATCTGGCAAACGGCAATTATTTTCATACTTCAAGTAAATATCATGCGCTTTCCCCTTTTTTATTTCTAGCAACACGCACATAAACATAGAGCAATAGTATTTTTATATTTTCTTTTTAAACCATTGTATTCATATCATCTTGTCCTGTCTTAGTTTATGGTAAGCATCGAAGTTTTCTCTTTCTTTTCATTTAACCATTTATCTAATAATAATTATTGGTCTGGTGGTATTATAGTAGATTTTTTTTTGTTATTAAATTTAGTTCTTAGAAAATTGGTATGTAAAATCTTCAAATCATAATGTAAAATAGAGGTGATCATATTATTTCAACTGTGTTATAATTATGACACGAAATATAAAGGTTAATAGCAATGATCTCAGTATTAACTTAATTACAGTATTCTAATTAAACCTAAATATGTCTTAGATACGTTGTCTTATGCCATTTGTATGTAGTCTTTGGTATTTCCGTCATTTTATATAGTTAGCATTACGTGTATAAAATTCAATATTCAATTGAACAATCTTGTAATAATTTACCGTGACTTGGATATTGCCAACTAGTTTACATATGGATATTAGCAAAGAAATTGTAAATTAACTTTTATCTTATAGAATATTTCAAATTATCTAATTTGTTAAAAAGGTCGCGATAAAGTTATAAGAGTAATTAATTATAGGCACTTAACGAAATTCGAAAATACTAAAATGCGTGCAATAACACTTTTCATTGTCGAAATATCGGTACAAAATATCTCAGTCTTTTAAGACAAAATGAGAGATTATAAGATGTCTTGTGCAAATACTTCGGCAATGAAAATTCGCGGACCGACATAAAACATAAACGAAAAACTGGTAATTTAAATTGTGTGCTGGTAATTTAAATTGTGTGTAGATATTGTAGAAAAAAAACATCGCCAAACCATAGACTTAATAATGAGCCTAATTTATTGCGTCTATGCGCCAAAATTTATATTATGGTATGAAGACTGCGTAAAGGAAATGATTAGATATTATGAATATCTGTCATTGTAAATATAAGTACATTGATGTTTGTAAATAAATCTGTATTTTAGTTGTAGTAATAATTATTAAATACTCACATCACGTTGTGTTTCTCTAGTCATCATCGTATGTACGTTTTTTTAATATTTCAGACTATGTAATTGATTGAATTTGTCTCTGTCTAATATGTATAGAGTAACAGAGTGCTAAAATATTAGAAAAATTAGATATATTCTCATTAGTTATAGAACTTTTGCACGATCAGTATTATTGTTTAGAGAACCAAATATCAATGTAAATTGTTACATTATAAATTATAAAAAGTGAATTAAATGAAATGTAAATAATATTAGGGTTTTATTAAGTGTGGGTCCCTCAATGACTTTGGAGTAAAAATCGGAGAATGTAATTTCTAATTTATTTTCGAATACTTCTCGATTTGGATGATTTTTTTATAGGAGAAGGGGGCAAACGAGCAACGAATCGCCTATAACTGATGCTGATTGTACTGTTAATATTCTTTCTATCCCTTTCCTTTTTTTTACTGAGCTTTGGGTAGTTAGATAAAATAGAATTCGTGTAACTGGACATCTCTAATAAGAAAAGACTGCCTGCCCTGGGTGCTGTCACAAATAACTTAAAGGTAAATATTGCAATCATACAGAATTACTCCTTGTACGATAGTTGTTTGCAACACTGTAAATAAAGTAAAAATCGGTAAACATTTGGTGATCATGTCTTCATATAATTTAAATATCTGAATATAAAAAGAATCCAGTATTTTAGACTTACACTTCTATATAAGTTTAAGTATGTATGAACCGCGGCAAAATATTTTTCGGAATACACATGGAATTATCACCAAACCTAAAAAATTTATTTTGTTTTTGGCAACAAACAAAAAAGTTGAGTAGACAATTAACAACAAATGACAATGTTAAGAACAGTTTCCAGTTGCCATTACAAGAAACCATAGATTTTCGAGAGGCTTTTTGTACTTCTAGTCTTCTAGTCCGACGTACAAGACGCCTGCTCAAACGAACTTCCACAGTGATCTTCGGTTTGTACCATAAAAGTTATCTTACTTCTAGAAATAATGTGGAAAGGAGGAGTGACACACATTTTTACCAAAAGTTTAGTGGCAACACACAGGAACCTTTTTTTTACTCTATTGTCACTATACACATATTGTCTATTCCTTTCTAGATCAGCTTGATTTGACACATCACATTTGATTTCCCCGTTTTCCCATTTCGAGATATAATTGGGCGAAAAAACACCAAACTGTTAAACCGGTGTTTTGAAGTTTAATAACTTGCTCATAACCTTGCTTTCGTTTGTTAGTGATTTGCGAATCAAGTGTTTCATCGAACGAAAGATATTTGTCGTAGTTGCAATATTTATGACTACGAAATTGTGCTGTGATTTTTTTTAATCGGCTTTTAAAATGACTGAAAGTTCACCGGACGAGTCAAGTTCCAGACGTAAAGACTTCATTTGCGGCGTAGTTGAAGGTACAGTTGTATTTATTTTTGGATACCGTAATAGTTCTATAATGGTCCCACACTTATACATAAATGTGTATAAACTAGAATAGTTGCGTTAGAGTGAATGACCTAAGATTGTGTATTGCAGGCTTTTACGGACGTCCATGGACAACTGAACAAAGAAAAGATTTATTTCATAAGTAAGTACAACAATTTTCAATGCTAAATATTTGCAAGTTGAAACCAAATCCTATGTTATAAAAAATGGTAATACATATATGATAAATTTTCGTATTTATCGCTCTTTATTTCATCAAGATTTAAATGAAAGAAGTTTATTAACAGACATTTTCTTGTAAGAATGCTTTACTAATTCAATATTAAGAAATTAACTCAAAACTAATCATATATGTACAAACTTGTAAAAACAATTTCAGATTAAAGAAATGGGGGATGGATATGTATGTCTATGCACCTAAAGATGATTACAAGCATAGAGCATACTGGAGAGAATTGTACACTGTGGAAGAGGCTGAACATCTTACTTCCTTGATTTGTGCGGCCAAATCACAAGGCATCACCTTCTGTTATGCTCTCTCACCTGGCCTTGATATAACTTACAGCAGTCAGAAAGAGATAACAACACTAAAGAGGAAGCTAGAACAGGTTTGTATGGAATTTGAATTAAAACATAAACAATAAAACTAGAGTTTATTTAGAACAATTAGTTTTTCTTCCTAATTAATTAATATTTGATGAATCAATATAATGCAGGTATCACAATTTGGATGCACTTGTTTTGCTCTGCTGTTCGATGACATAGAACCGGAGATGAGTGAGGCTGACAAACAGATATTCCAAAGTTTTGCTCATGCACAAGTAAGTATTTCAATTAGATTAAGACTACTGTAATGTAAAATGTTTGTTAATGTTAATTTGACTCAATCTATACCTCAATTTTTACAAAATTATTAAGAAAATCTAATATAATGGTAGCCAAGTATGGAATTGGACATACCTCTGTTTACATAGATTTTAATAGGAATGAGATATACTCAATGTCATCTATAGACTGGCTATGAGATGTAGTATTCTGTGCCTATTTGCTTTCCACCATTTTGATGTTGATGTTAGCGGTTTGTAGTGGTGTAGATTCAAACTCATATAGATGGAATTAACAGTCACATAACATCAACATGCACATTTTAATTGGAACAAAGCAAAAGCAGTTATTTCCAAGCAACTGCCTATCCATTTATAGAAATTAGGGGATATACTAGGCAATTTAATAGACAATATTTTATTTTCTCTAGGTATCAGTGACCAATGAAATCCATCAACATCTCGGCTGTCCACGCTTCCTTCTTTGCCCCACTCAGTACTGTTCAACAAGAGCTGTGCCTACAGTCAACAGCTCGGAGTATCTTATCACTTTGGGGACTAAGCTCTCGCAACAGATTGATATTATGTGGACTGGTAAGTGGTTGTTTTAATCTTTTTAATGGCTAAAGGTCAACTGCAGTGCCCCTGCTACACCAACATTGTGTTCTGGATAGACTTATATGATGTTTTCTGTTAAGATGTTGGTAATTAACTTATGATCATGAGAAATATTTGATTATCATAAGCTTTCACAGCTAAGAGACATTTATTTCTCTCTAAAGTCTAAAGTAAATCAAAATTTCTTATAAGACTGTTCTAGTTCTTTTTATACCATTGTTTTTGTAAATTGTGAGGTCTACAACGAAGAAATACTTTTACATCCTTTTCATTGCCTTTGAAGTAATAGAAAAATTAAGGTCTGAAGTTACAGTTATGAAAATTCTTTACAAATCTGTATTAGCTATGTTTGATCTTTATTCAGATTTATAAAGATAACATGATCATCAGCTCTATGCATCCTCACTGAGCAGCTCAGAGCCTACCCTAAGTAAATGGTGACTAGGCCTTAGTCAATCACCATGGTCCAGCGCGAATTGACATTACACATGTCTTTGAAATTCTTCCCATATGTGCGGGTTGCATATCGATGTTTCCCTTCACTGCAAGAACGTTGGATAATTGTACATATGTAAATCGAACAACACATATTGGTGCCGTGGGATTCGAACCCAAGATCTCCAGATTATATGTCAAGGTCTATACAACTGAGCCACCAATGCTTTATAAAGATATGAGGTTGTTGAACCATAAGTTTGACGTAAGACTATAAATGCCGATATAATAAAGGTTGATAAACTTTGTGACGTCAACTTTCGTTAATAGAATATTAAGGCGTCATGGCATCTTGAGTGAGTAGACAATACTCAAATAATCTTTGTTTATTTGATGAGCTTTTACTTTGAAATTTACGAAAAAAAAACATCTTTTAGTTTATGCTAATGCAATTTTTCAAAAATGCATTTAAAAATCAAAGTATTAACGATAATTTTATATATATATATAAAGCTTAAAGTATACATCTAAGAAATTCCAAGATATATGTGAAGTCAACCAACGAACTGGACCAACAAAGTTGGCTAGTCACCAAACTTAGGGTTGGCACTAAACCACTCAGCGGGGACATATAGTGAGCTGATGATGAAGCAGGAGTAATATAAATATATATTCTATAGAGGAAAATAAGGCTTAAAAAACCTGCAAAAAGTATTTATTTTAAGCAAACAAGTCGTAGAACTTGTTCACATGATTGGCAACATTTGACGCATACAAAATAAGCTTTAAACAAGGCATAGCGGTATGTCATAAAAGGATATCCAAACAAACGTATAGTAAAAACTTCGTGGAGTATCAATGGAAAAAACCGTAAATGACCTTGATCGGCTATTATCATATTTACAATAGGATTGTTAACTTACATTTTCGAAATGTCTGGTTTCTAAATATATAATAGTCTTTATGTTTGAATTATATTTGACCAACTTATTCCTTAGTGTTTATAATCTTAGAGACGTTTGGAAAAAAATCTTTCATCATTATGATTATTCCTGATTAATAACGGCTACTAACTGTCGCACGCATCTCCGTCAGTGCGAAATTAAAAAAAAAAACTTAATTATTAGTCTATGTGTTTTTCCAGACTATGTTCTTTATCTGTACCAAATTTCAGCGTGCCCTTGAGCCGTTTTGGAGATACCTTCTATCTACTAATACCATACATCCAAACATTTGCATGTATAATATTAGTAAATTGTTTAATATAGACTTCTAGAATGTTTGAGGCCGTAGCATGTCTCTAATTAGTAAAATACAATTTATGTTAACCCTTTCAGTGCCGACTGTCGAATTCACTTTCATATAAAATAACGTAGCGGCATAGAACGTGTTAAATATAAAGATAAGATTATCTAGTATTAAATTTTTTCCAGGTCCCAAAGTCATATCAAAGACTTTAACAACGGAATGTATTGAAGAGATCACGCAAGTGTTACGTCGACCGCCAGTTATATGGGACAATCTGCACGCCAATGACTACGATCAGAAAAGAATCTTTCTTGGTAAGATATAAAGTTCATTTTTATTTGTCCTATTTGATAACGGCTTTTTTTAATGTTAACTGAATTATTCTTTTTTATTTTGAAAGGTAATTAAATAAATTTAAAATATTTAATTCAAAAAGCAGCTACGCCATATTAGATATCAAATAATATCTTGAAATAAAAACATTCTTGGTAATATGTTTCAATCGCAATATTACAAGGATCTAGGATGTTTTTTTTATTACTGGCTGATGTCCGCAACTCCGTCCGCGCGGACTTAAAAAAAAAACTTAATCAGTTGTCTATGTGTTCTTCCAGATTATGTTCTATATTCATGCGAAATTCCATCGAGATTCTATCAGCCGTTCTGAAATGAAATTAAGCACATTTATTACCACACAGATACAAAAGAAAAAAATACATACTTAGCTCAGATTAATAACAAAAACAATGTTCTGGAGATAACTTTAAACAAACATCCATCCATGCATCTAAACATTCGCATCTATATATATATATATATATAAAAGAAAGTCGTGTTAGTTACACTATTTATAACTCAAGAACGGCTTTACCGATATGGCCGATTGGTGAGGAGGTAGCTGAGAGCCAGGAGACGGACATGGGATACTATTTATTCATTTTTTTTTTCGAATTTATGCCATAAAGATCTGCTTTTTATTTAACTTACTAATATTAATATTACAAATGCGAATGTTTAGATGGATGTGATGATGATGGATGGATGGGTGGGCTACACTAATAAGGTTTTTTAAATATCAACAGCTGCAGCTTGTTTATAATATTAGTAAGATTGTATAATTTTGTTCTTTAAGGTCCATACTGCGGACGGTCTCCTGAATTAATTCCATTGCTCCGCGGTGTTCTGAGCAATCCTAATTGTGAATACAATGCCAACATGATTCCTATATGGACTCTAGCGCATTGGGCCAGCTGTAGCTTGGATGCGCCTGCGCATAGTAAGTATTTGTATATCGGCTTCTATGGAAACTATTGTATGTTTATAACGACAAAGCAAGGGAGAATTTTAAACATTAATACGACTAATTGAAACGAATCTAAAATCTTAATACTTTTACGATATTATGGGAAGGGGAAATATATTTTAGAGCGTCTCCTCCTCTGTTTATGACGACGATGGCAACGCTATTTTGGCGAATTAAGATGACTGCTTTCTCATTTGCCACTTTATAATAAAAAAGGTCTTGTTAGATAGTCGGGCGGACAACAAAGTGATTCTATAAGGGTTCAGTTTTTTTTCCTTTCGAGGTACGAAAGCCTAAGAAATTATTATAATTATGTTAATATTGTCTTTAATACAATGTATGTTTAGTGGAAGCAGTATCATGGGATATAAAGTTGGAGCGCGAGAGCGAGCAAGGTGTATGTGAGGACGAGCCCCCTCTCACTCTAGGCAAGCATGTTTATCATCATAGACAAGCTTTGAGGTAAATATAATGCTTCTAGATTATTTATCTATACTATTTTTCTAGTTATTATATAATGCATTTTAACAGTGGTAGAGCCCGCTTTAACATGTTCGCTCGAATTTTCCCGACTCGCCCGGTGAAATACCACGACTACACAGAAGACAGGCGTCAAGCGGAAGCAGTTCCGCGTACAGTCTGATTCTCTTTCCCTTCCTACCCTTTTTCTTATAAGGAAAGGATGGGAAGTGGAAATGGACTTTTCGGATGAAGGGATGCATGGAAAGGGAAAATATTTTCTTTCTGTGCATCCTCTCCTCCGTCTATTAAAGGTAGGCAACTCATGTGCAGTTGCGTATGTCTATGGGCAACGGTCACTTCGCTGCTTCAGCGATTTCAGGTGGCCGCTCGCTCGTTTGCCACCTTATGATAAAAAAATGCATAATTTTTTCTTTAGACAAGCTATAAACGAATGGCTGCCAGAGTTCTCCATACCGAAGACAGCTCAAGGACCTGTTATCAAACCTCAACCGGCTGTAACAGGTGATCACTTTCTTCTTACGTACTCTCCTGCAAAGTGGGTCTTGGCCTACGACACAAGAGATTGCCAAAGTTCCTGCATCTTCTCCTTTTATCTAGATCTAGAAATTTGTTATACCTAATCTATACATATAAATAAAATTGGAGTATCTGTAATTGGAGTGTCTGTATGTTATATATTAAAAAAAAAACACATTTCACATATATGTAGCTGATGATGAAAATTTTTAAAAAATGTTTGTCCGCGTTTGTTCCGGGTAATCTCCGGAACGGTTGAATCGATTTTGACGGGACTTTTACTGGAAGGTAGCCGATGCATGCGTGTATGTTATAGGTTATTATTATATTATTAATATGAATGTTGGATGGATGTATGGATTAATGAGTGTTTGTTTGAATATATCTCCAGAACAACTGCATGGATCTCACTGTATTTCGTCATAGATGTAGAGCATAGTCTGGAAAAACACATAGGCTCCTTATTTTCTTTTTCATTCCGCGCGGACGGAGTCGCGGGCGACAGCTAATAAAGACGTAAAACATATTTCGTGAATGTAAACACGTGGTCCAGTTCCTCCAGTGCCGATCATCCCGATCCTGCCGTCAGTGAACACGTGCATGTCCCTGGTGACGGCGACCAGCACGACGCACACCACCAGCACGGCGGACATGTCTGCTCCTGTGCCCAGCATTCCCACCATCAACACCAGCCAGCTGCAGGCTCTCGCTGATGTCTGCTCCGCCACACCTGACAGACCTATACTCTCCACTGGGGTGAGTGCGGGATACTGTATACTTTATTGAAAAATTATTGGGTCTATTTTTAATTTATATTTTAATGCATTTTTTTGTAAAATAATTGTTAATGTGATTGGAGTTTAAAGATTGAAATGTTAGTTTAGTTAATAATGTAAGATTTTTTTTTAATTTTAAACCATCATATATAATCACGGACAGACAATATGTTCTACATGTTATAAGATGGCACTCTGGGTTGCAAAGGATTTTTTTGTTAGATATAAAAATGCTAGCCTAGAAATTAGTATACTTATTTGCAAAGATATTGGGGACACATGATTATTTTTATTTTTATTGGAAGGTCCAAGACAGTATACTTATATAAATTCAGCATAAAGCAATTTTTATATTAATCCTTTTTTTTAATGTAAGATGGATAGTTATAGTACCATATAGTTACTGTAAATAAGTTTTCCATTTCTTAAAGATGAAAAGTTTTTTTTTTTTTTAAATGATGCATTATTAATTTCAGGTATCGCCTATAGAAACTTTCAATCCAGTTGCAAACCCAGTAATGAATTCACTTGTGTCACCAACAAAAGTTATATTAAACGAATCCATACCCAATCCAATTATACCAATCGCTAGTTCCAATATGTCGTTACCTTCAGAAATACCAGTTTCTACGTTACCCGTACCCATTATGGGTTTAAAAGCTTTAGAAGGACATAATGATAAAGATCAGAATATGGATAAAATAGAAATTAATGATACAGCAAGTAATGATAGTGTTCTAGAAACTTCTAGCTTTATAGAAGAAATGAAGAAGGATAAAGAAGATGATACTATTATAGTAGATGATGTGGAACCGCATGTAGATGTACATAAAAATGGAGAAATGAGTATTGGAGGTAAGATTTTTTTTTAATTTTCTTCTATAGAATATGACTAACTGATATATTGTGTCTTTTTTTTTAATAATTATGATTTAATTTTTAATTTAAAATCTATTTTGATGCTACAGCTGTCTTGTTTAAAAGTTGTGTAGAAATTATAAACAGTTTTACTGTTTAAAATATGAAACATCTGTGTAAAATAAATATTGCCATCTCACTTCTTTTGGGGTGTATTTTTTTTTTTTTGTTAACGCGGGGAATGCGTTTATGCACTTCGCCGTCCGTGCTGCGGGGGCAGCAGGGACGGTTTCGTGTGGGACTCCCGGCCTGGGAACAAGACCGGACTACCCACTAAACCCCGCGGTGTTCTCCTACGCCCAACCGGACCGTGGCATCTACGTTAGTTTATCCACGGCCCGGCTAGGGGGGAGCCCCTTGGTAGGGGCTCGACTCGTGTAGGGAGGGGTCATCTCTTAGACCCCTCCCATCACCCTATGATGAAACCCTCCTCAGAACACGAGAGGAGGGCCATCCGCCACAATCGGCGCGACAGGTCCCCCGACCCGTCGCGCGTGGCTCTCTTAACTTGTTTGTAGGGCCGCCGCGTACCTGGCACGCCGGCGGCCCCTCGCTGGAGCCCTGCGGGGCGGCAACGTCTCATTGGCGCGTTCGCGCTCCCGCAGGGCCTCTCTTTTGGCCGCCATCACCTCGCGTGCGAAGGAGGCGACGGCGGCCCAACTTTGTTCGCTGCCGACCATCGAAAGTATGACGGCCGGCAGCGACAAATCCCGTCCGAGAAGCTGCGTCAGGAAGTAAGTCGGTTCCCGGTGCCTCGCTTCCACCCACTGGCGCAGGACGGGGCGGACGGCCTCGATGAGCCGTCTGCTCACCGAGGCGTCCCCCAACCTCTCTTGCCATCGCCGGAAGAGATCGTCGCGACCTTCCTTCCTCCAGCGTACGATCTCTTCCGGGAGGGGCTCCTCGCCTCGCTGCCGCATCAGGGCTCTTCTCCGGTAAACCTCCGCTAGGACCCCGGCTTCGAGGTCCCAGGGGAGGCTACCGGAGATAAGGCACGCCGCCTCGTACGACACGGTGCGGTACGCTCTGGAGGCCCTCTGAGCCATGGTCCGCTGCGCACGTCGCAGCAGGACCATGTTGCCTTGGCTCAGGGGCCTCGTCGCCCATATGGGCGCTCCGTAGAGCGCCTTAGAGCGTACCACACCATCATACAGGCGGCGGCACACACCGCCCGCCCCCCCGCAGTTGGGGAGCAGCCTGGCGAGCATTCCCGCATACTGCACCAGCTTTGGTGCCAGTATCCGGAAATGCTCACCGAACCCCCATTTGCTGTCGAGGACGAGACCAAGATATTTCATGGTCCCCCCGACAGCAATGGCGGTGCCGCTCACCGCGATGGAATATCCGCGGGGGGGCTTAGTCCGAGGCCCA